GGGGGCGGGGCGGGCCCCGGATGCACTCGGCGCGCGCGGCCCCAGTTCCTGTGCGTGCTCCAGCCTTGCGGGGCCGGGCTGGGCGTCATGTCGCTGGCTGCAGAGGCGTTCGTGAGCCAGATCGCAGGTAGGGGCCGGGCGAGGCGCGTCGGGCTTCCGGAGCCGCGGAGTGGCCGCTCCATACCCCCAACCAGCTCCGCGGCAGCCCCTGGGCTCTCCCTGACCTCCGCCCGCTCCCCGGGCGCCCCTTGCACGTGGGCCCGTGCCCTCCCCCGCAGCCTGTCCTCCACGCTCCTGTGCTCCGGGCTTGCGGGGAGGCGGGTACTGTTGGGACCAAGCTGAGGCCCCCCAGTCCCTGGCTTGTCTAGGGGGTCACTAGCCCGCCGCCGTGATCAGCCCCGTCCCCGAGGGGCGGCGATGTTCTTGCTGGAAGTGTTGCCTGGAAGTCTTGCTTCAGGCCAGTGGGCCCCGGAGGCAGGCAAGCTGTGCTGGAGTTAGGTGTCAGTGTGGTTTTGTGGCTATGTAAAGCGTGAAACAACTTTTTTTTTTTTTTGGTAGCCAGGTAGGTTTCCCAAACAGCCGGCTGCTACAGGTTTGTAAGGACAGGAAAGAGTAGTGCAGTCACCCAGCCTAACCACCTGTATCGCGCACACAGCTGTATTTCACCACCTGATCCCTTTATCAAGCCCTTAAACTTTGGGTGATGTAGGGCCTGCTTTTATCTTCATCTAAAGATGTCACGTGATGGAGACTTCAGCATAATCCTAGGTAAGTCATAGTTAGCCAGTGGTGTGTACACTCACCTGAGTTTGTGTAGCTTTACCTGGCCTGTAAGAAGGGGAAGTGTTAGATTAGCAGAAGAGACTAAAGTACTCTTTGGGTAGGAGAAATGGGAGCCAGTGACACTGTAGAAGACATCTGTTGTTTCTAACAAATGCCAGAGTGATGCTTCACTTCTGTGGGGTTTAAGATTTACCAAATTACAGCTACTTCTCTTGCTCCCTCTGAAGAATTGTTTCAAACTTTCCCCCTCAGGTTTTGAAGCTGAGTCTTAGCAGGCACTTAGCATTGACATGTGATTCAGTGCAGCTCTGCTGCATAAGCTGACATAAGCCTTGTCATAAAATACAAGGAGTACAAGTTGTCAAAAATTTTAGGAGAAAAGATGTTCTTTTTCTGTTTTCAGGGGAAAATACTTCATTCATGGTTTAGCTCAAGTAGTTTAGGAGCATCTTGATTTTTCTTCACTGAAAGCCTAGTTTTCCCTTTTTAAGTTAATAAATCTAGTGATTTCATTTTTTCCCCTACTACACGTGCTGTAAATTCTGCAGGGGCATGGCATGTTGTGATTTCCAAAGCAGGAGGATCAGAATGTTTGTCTCCTGGCGAGACCTTCCTTCACCCTTAAGTTCTTATGCAAGAGCTGCTGATTTGGATTTTTAACTGCTGCATATTAAGGACTAGAAATGCCTGCCTCCCTGATTCTCATTGTGAAAAAGATTAACCAATAGGAGTGATGAGGCTAAGTCACTTAGTCACATTTGAGAATTTCGCTGTACCCTTGTCTTAAACAACAATAGCATACAGCTGTGTAAAAACATCGGTGCAAGTGATGTTAAATTCTTTTGGGCAAACTGGATGAAGGAGGTTAAGGCATTTAGTGGTGCAGATGAAAAGTGGTGCCCTAGCAAATCATGGTCTTTTCTGATGTATTTATTGAATACTGCATTTTTCTTGTAGTGAATAAAATATTGTTTATATGGTGTTGTATATTTTACTGTATAGCTTTTATATCTATAATTATAACAAAGTAGTTGGTCTCAGCAAGTTGTCACTTTAGAATGCTCACAAGCACAAAATCGCATAAAAATACCCTATAGACATTCCAGTTACTTATGTTGAAAACGTTAGAATGTTATTGTTGGGGGAGGAGGAGCCTTCGTTGCAAGCTATAACAATGTATAAATCAGGGTTAAGTGTAGGGGAGGAAAAATTAAAATGTCTGAAAATCTGTTTGGCAAACAGCCTTAACTCCTTCCTCTCTCTCTAAGCTTAAGCAGCTCACTTGTATGCCCTAGAGGGACCTGTATCCTAGTGCACATTAGGTATAATATTTGCTATGTGAGCTTCAGCCCACATGATAACAGCTTGCATTTGAAAATTTTGGAATCTCTCTCTGTTTGAGCCGCCTTGCCTAGCTGTAAACCCTCATTAAAATTTAGCCTTTCAGAATAAGTCAGCTACTACAACAAATCATTCCATCATCAGAGAGAGAAGCTCATTCTGACCTTAATTAAAGAGCATTGGTAGTACTCCTTGTTATCACCCTTTGCACTGCACTGTCTCTTCAGAATATAAATGCTCTGGTGCTTAGTTTATTCATCTCCTTTATGTACATTTGATACATGAGCACTCACTGTGACCCCAAGTATTGTACAAATACTAGTGGCAGATCAATCTACTGAACCTTATTCTTTAACACAAAGTTATGACTTTATCTGTCCTCTTCCAGAAGCTGATCGGTGTCAAAAGCATTTATCTGCCTACAAAGTAATAAACACTTTCGTCACTCTGGGTGACAAGCTATAAAGTCACAGATTGGAAGTAAATAAAAACAAAAACACTATTTTGTTCACGTTGAAAGATTTGTCTGGTAACCAATTCATTCAGGATTTTGATCAATATTCAGGCCATGTTTTTACATTATCAGAGGCATTGTACAGTAACTAAAGCTACAAAATAATATAATGACTCTCCAGCATTATGTGAGTGGATTTAAGAAACAAAATAAACATCTTCAAATGTGCTGTTTCTTATTTTGTATATTGAGCCCTCTGAAATTGAAGTTCAGAGTATTTCTCTGCTTTAAATATGAAAAACATGCATACCTAGTGTAATGATATTTTGAGGGTGAATAATATGTTGTATTAGAAAGAAAAGCAATACTATTTAAATGGTTATTGTTTTAAAATGCTCTTATTTCTTATGTTTCTAATTGTGAACACTCATCTCTTATTATGTATGCATACCCAGGTAATTTGAGCGAGGATTTTTTTTAACATCTGATAAAAATGAAATTTGATTGGCTTGTAATAGAGGGTCCTGTTCACAAGAACAATTGCTTTGTCATGACAGTTCCAGTTAACTAACTATTCCAGCAATATAGCAGCCATAAACTGTGGTTCTTGGTACGTGTACAGTTAAATGTAATAATTTCAACATAGTGTGTTTTCCAGAAATGTATTAGAAGTTGAGAGGGGTATTTGGAGTACTGGAAAGATGAGTCATAACTTTTTGAAGATATTGACTTTTCAGGTAATGCCTACCCTCACTTTTACCACACTTCATGCATTCTCTTCAAGACTGCGTATGGCATGTCATACTTAATCACTTGTCTACCTGCTTGCACATCTGCAAAATTTTAGCAGTCGTGAATGATAATTTCTTAGGGCATCAGCATTCATTCTGTGCAAGTAGCATCCTTTTGAACATGCTGAGCATAGTCTGCTCTTCTAATGCACTAATGATTAAATATAAAATGATGATCAAATCACTTAAGTAGACTAGGAAGCTCTTTATGGTAACATTGGCTATGTAATGCTAAAACTATTTACTCATTCTTGTTTTGAAAAAACAGGATATTGCTGCTCCAACCCAGGGGGAAAAACCCTCACATTTTTACAATGTGTTTATGATTTGGAAGCATAAACTTGTCATGCATATTAGATATTGCATATGCAAAAAAATACATTAATGCGCTCAAAATATATTTTCCAAAGAATATATAGAGGGGGGTTTGCAGACTAATTGTATGTCAGTCATAAATAAACATAATAAGTGAATGTTTATACTACTAGACAGTTTGCGATCCTAGCTTTCAAAGGGTCTAATCTCTTGAAATCCTTTCTCCTGATATTTGTTAAAATCACCTGAGAGAGATTATGCAAAAATACTTAATTGATGGGTGAAGGATTGAAGGGAGTGGACAATTTTCCAAGCACTTTTTCTATATCAGCAGTCAAAAAGTAGAGAAAATAAAGTCACAAAGTATCCTGTTATTTCTCGCAAATTGGTGTTTTTCTCATAAATGAACGATACCCAGATACTTAGTCTAATTTTAATACTATGGTAAATTTACAAAAGTTTGAGAAACATGCTACTACTATAGGTGTATATTTTACATTCTCAGTAAGTCTGCCTCAGTGTAATAAGCCTCCTTAGAAATACACTTTCAAGTACATATGTTTACATATAAAAACCAGGATTTTGCTCATAGCAAATATGTAATATAGAATAAGGCTTAACATATAAATTTTCTTCCAGATAAAAATCCAGAGTCTAAATAGTACACCAACTACATAGGCATTCTGTATACCAAAATACATATCTGAGCTTCCATGTTGCAAAAGAGTAATTGCACTTGTTTAAAAATAGGTTTGAACTATTGGCAGTAGTATCTTCAATTGAAGCTATTTTTGTTTTGGATGCTTTCATATCAAGTCATATTTTGAAATCATCTCATGTTGGTTTTGTGTTCTTTTATAGGAAGTTATGTAAGAATAAGCCATAAATAAATTGCTTTATTTCTAGGATACTAGTGTCACCTGAAATCCTTTTGGTTTTTGAATGTTTTGTGCCCTTAATCCAACCAATTGCTTTGGGGATTACCTGCCTAACCTCGTGTAGATTGGAGGAAAAATAATTTACTTACTGTAGTATTATCGTCTGATATGTATTTATCTGAGTTAGTATTTCCTGGTCTGAGAAACAATACAATTACAGCTCATAAAAGGAAGATTCCTTCCTAGTTATTTTGGGATTCATTAAGCCCAAACAGTCTCTCTCTAATTGGTATTTACTGTTTCAAGTTTTCTGTTAAAGTAACAGCTTCTCTTGTCTCTTGCCAGAAATCTTGATATGCTTTTTAAGGATATTACAAACTCAGCAGCTGAAAAGGAACATAGATATAGCATATTTTAAAATATTAGTAACACTCAATACTGCCTTATTTAGTCTTATGAGAACTTGTACAAATAGGGCTTTTCACTTTTAAAATGTCCTGGATCTGGACAAAACATTCACTATGTAGAGGAAATAGAGCACAAGTATTGCCTTTAGGGAGGCATT